GGAGCCCCGCATCTGCTCCCCGCACTGGGCCCTGCTCCCCGCTCCGCGGGCTCCCCTTCTCTTCCTCCACCCTGATCCCAGGAGCGCCGGGCAGGCCGGGACTCAGCCGCCCCAGGTCCTGAACGCCTTCCTCCTTCCAGCAGGGTCTGCGGTGCCGCCGTGGGCAGCGCGGCCGCTCCTGCCCCCCGTGGGCCCTGGCAGCTTGTCCTGCGCCGCTCCGCACCCTGCAGAAAAAATTAGTGCTGGTGCTACCGGTTCATCAAAGTCAAACTTCTCTAACATGAGTTTAATTAAATCGAGAGGCTCTTGGGTTTTCTCAGACTGGATGTGATCAGATCGACTCAGAATAATGGGTTTCTCGTTGTCTTTAGCTGAGCGCCTGTCCGATCGCTGCGCCTGGTGGTCTCCGAGCCCTGACGCAGAAGAGAGGAAACAGAAAGGGGACAAAAAAATGAAGAAAACCCAATCCTTCCTGATACCTCCAGCCCCACCCCACCCCCCTTGCCCAAGACGCCCTTGTCCTGAAGGCTTAAAACTATTGCAATTTATGGAGAAGATCAAACAAAATGTGGTCGCTTGAGGCTACTAATTCCCACGAACCTGAAAGCAGCAAAGCAAAAGAAAATGCCCATCTGGAAGGGTGGAAGGTCAACTGCAGGTCGCTGACCGAGACCACTCTGTCCCCGACTCCTGACCCGGCACTTCCGAGGCTTGTGGGGCCGCAGGACAATGTTCTGGGTGCTACCGAGGTGAATGGGATAGTGCCAGGGGAAGGAGCCAATCCTCTCCCCAGATTTCTCTTCCGAAGCCGCCTCCAGTTGTTTATCTTCCTCGGATGGTCCCCAAATCCCGCTCCTTCCTTAAAATCCAAGCAGCCCTGTGCTCGCCTCCCTCCATAATTGACTTTGGATGGATTCTACTTCCTGGGCTATAACTCCCTCCATCCTCTCCAGAGGTCCATGAAAAGTTGATGTGTAACCATAAGTATAACACCGGCAAGAAAAACCCACAAATCAGAGCAAACTTCTAGATTTTTTTTTATTATGCATTTGACAGTTAGTATTTTCTGAGTGTTAGCACAACGGATGAATTTCTCTCCAAGATGCCATCTTGCCGCGGCGCCGAACGGTGCGTATGCGTCTTAAAAACATAATTCAAGCTCTAAGGGATATGCATTTGGATCCAGGACACAATTTAAAATGTATCTATATATACACAGTGGCTTTGCTTTGAACAGATCCACGTAAAGGGATCGAAATAAAGAAGAGTTTCACAATAAATAACTGCTTCTCTAAACTGTATACAATCCTGCTAGCAAGCCAGTGCTCTCCATCTCGCGATAGGTGCTCGCTTCTAGGCCTGTAAGAGCTCATGAAATGCTCATGGAGAAGTAAACATTTGGCCAAGGCCAACGCTCTGTCGTTCACCACCCTGAACTTGTCCACATGGTGACCCGGGCCTGCCTCACCTGTGGGTCCTCACCTCTCTGCTTGCTGGGGGTGGGGGTCGGGGAGGGGCGTCCGCGTCAACCATGCTGGCACCCGTCACAGTGTCCGCCACGCACGGTAATCTTGGGCTGGCCATGCAAAGCACAGCTGAGACAAATCGTGAACTGCGGGGAGTTGCAATCCCCAGTGGTTGCCAATTACATAGATAAATAGGAATTTACATAATTTACAAAGAGTTTGCGGCTTATTTTGAAGCCATTCCCCAAAGATCCACATTTATTCATGAAAGCGAATATTTACCCAAATAGACTGGAGTGGCGGCCAGCTGCCCTTACTGTGGCTCTCTGGGAAGAAGGCCTGCGGTGACCTGGCCTGACCATCTGCAGAGGACTCAGAAAGTCACCTGATCGCGAACGGGCTCTCGGCCACACGTCCCGGGTTCAAAGCCACCAGATACTCGTTTTCTCCGTTGCTCGTCACAAACATCAAGGTTTCCTTTTTCTTTTTCTCTCTTTTCCAAAGATACATTCTTTCGGTGGGTACCACACACCGCTGACAATCACTGTCTAAATCCTCCTAGAAGCTTCGAAGTCCTCAATGCCTGCAAAGCCACGATCCACATTCAAAATTGACGCTGGCGTCCTCGCTGGCCCACAGCGCATGCCTTCTGGGCGTCAGGACGCGAACATCACAAGCTCCTGCTCTACCGGTTGGAGGGGACGCCTGTTTACGTTTGCAGAGTTAGCCTGGAGCCCACTTATGCTCCAAGAGAAGTCAAAAGCCAGCAAGTGGCTTCCCGACATGCCGGAGTGCTCCAGAAACAATTTCCTGCATGAAACCCAAGCCGTGGGCGTCAGGCTCTGGGCCACATCTGGGATCATTTTACCCATTAGGGAAACCAGGTCGTCAGGACTGGGGCATTCTTGGGGTAGGGGTGTGCCGTTGGGTGTGGACCCTCGGGGTGGGTTTCTCCCCCACCAGGCAAAACTCATTTCTGGTCTTCCAAGAGGCTGGGAATGTGAACTGGGAAGGCGCGGGAACTGAGGCCTCCCGGAAGTGGGGTGCTCCTGGCCTGCTTCCGCGGGGGGCTCCTGACACAGCAGAGCGGCGGGTGGAGCGCGGGAGGCCCGCTGCCGGGCAAGCACGTGATGCCGGAGGCCTATGGGCCGCTCGCTGGGCCGGTCCCGGACTTCAGCCTATCTTGGAGAAAGGGACAAGAGAGAAAAGGAGGTATGTCATGAAGGAGAGCTCTTACCGGCTGGAAAAGGGGGACATCTCTCGGCTCCTTCTCGAGCCCTGTCCCCTGCTTCGAACTGACCCTTCTCGCCAGCGCTTCTTGGCAATTTCAGCGCCCGCCATCCCCCGGGAAGGTGTGAATAAATCACACCGGCAGAGGCGGCCGCGGGGAGGTGCCCCGCAGCCTGGTCCCGACTTTGATTATCACAAGCTCAGGACAGCAGCAGCTTCCAATCTTGAGAATGTGAATCTGGGAATTATTAACTCGAGTCTTGCAAGAAAGCAGGGACTGTGGCGTATAAGAAAAGACTTTCCTTTCCAAGTAAAACTTCTGACAGGAGCTTTACGTGAAGGGTAAAGACCTAGAAGAGCCACCTTTCCAGGCCCCAGTGGGGACATGTGTGCGTGCTTCCTCATCTTCTGGACGGTCACCAGAACGGTAAGAACATCAACAGCAAAAGCAACTCCATGGGTTTTCTGTGCAAGGCTCTTGGGCCTTCCTTGAATAGACCCAGCATATTCCTACCCCAGGACCTTTGTACTTACTGTTGTCCCTCCCTGACGTCTCCTCCCCTTCATCCTCCCCCAGGCTCACCCCCTGACTTCCTGCCCGTCTTTACGCCAAGGAGACGGCCCTGTCTACCCAATCCCAAACAGCGATCCACACGCCCAGCACTTCCTATCCTGACCCTGCTCTCCTGTTCTCCTTCACACGTCTTATTCTATTATTTTATGTACAGTGGTCCCCTCTTATCCGTGGTTCTGGTTACCCACAGTCAACCACGGCCCAGAAGCAGATGCTCCTCTGCCGAGACAGCATCAGAGGTCCATGGAAGCCTCGCTCTGTGCCACAGGCCAGTGTATTCATCTCACTCATCTCTCCAGACAGCATTTTACCATCTCCCCTCGTCACAAGGGGGTGAGTACAAACCAAGTGTTTTGAGAGAGACAGAGAGACCACACTCATGTAACTTTTATGATAGGAACTGCCAGCCTTGCCCACTTCATTACCAGTGCTCGAGGTCACTGTCTCCCTGAGCCTGACTCACCAGGTGTGTGTGTGGCGGGAGAAACACAGTACGTGTGGCCGTGGCCGTGGCCTCCGGCACCCACCGAGGGCTCTGGAACGAAGCCCCCACGGGGAAGGGGGGATGACTGTATTTGTCCGCAGTCAGCCCCCCACACTGGTTAAGCTCCACAAAGGCAGCCCCCCCATCTCGTTCCCTCCCGTGTCCCCGGCTTCCGGAACACGGCCTGGCATGTCGCAGGTGCACCACATCTTCGCCGAATGAATGCATGAGTGAATGAATAAATGATGTAAAGGATGGATGGTTTTAATCACAGCCCGTCCTCGCTGAGAGGCGTGCGGGGCGAGGAAGAGAGAATAAGGCAAGAGAGCAAAGAGGCAAAGCAGAGACCAGCTGGGGCCTGACTCACGCTCTCCTGGGGCCTCTCTGCCGCCTCGCCCGCCCCCTCCTCTCCGCCTGTATTACGGATGCTGCCGGATCTCTCCGGACGACTAGAAGCGACTGCCACCGATTTGGGAAGCCTTCTGTATACTGAGCGGAGTTTAATCTTCCCTTGAACAGTCCCTGTAGGAACCCAAGCCACCTCCAGGCTATTATTATGGACATAAATTATAGTCCCATCGCACACGCGTAGGCGAGCCATTAATAACAATTTCTGATTGATAGAATGACAAGTAAACTGAGTCTGGCTGCAGGCAACCCTCAGAATCTCTGACAAAAAAGACAAATGGGTTAAAGAAAAAATCATAAGCCCGACTGGGGGACGTGAAAGGCATGTGCCCCTCCATCCAGAATCAGCTGCTGAAGATAAGAATGGATCTGGGGGAGGGGGTAAAGACTACACGTTGGGGGGGTGAGGGGTAAAGACTACACATTGGGGGGATGGGGGGTAAAGATCACATGTTGCTTTGGGAAAAGTGAAACATGCGCCCAGGTGGCTGAGCCTGGGTGGGCTGGGGGCTGGGGGTGGGGGAATCTCTGAGCAGCAGGGGCCATGGAGCTGTGTCCAGGCCCAGTGAAATCCAGAACTGGATGCCACTCCTCTAGGGTTGCAAGGGAGGCAAGGGGTCAACGCCTATGACAAAGAGCGGCTGGCCAGGGGCAGGGCGATGACAGTGAGCATCCACAGCGTTAGCCTGCTCTGTCCCCAGGGACAATCTACCAAGGGCCCGGTTCTGTGGACGCAGCGTCCCACGCGTGGTGGGGCTCCCACTGGCTGCCCTCACAGGTCACACGCCACCCTCACATCCTCCATGTCCCCAAGGGGGTGACGCCTCAGAAAGTATCTTCACCTCCTTGGACGCAGGCCTCCGTCGGCACCGCCGGCTGGCTCCTCCTCCTTCTCAGGATTCTTCGCTGTCCCTGAGCTTCTGTGGGGAGAAGGTTGGAATGAGCCGACCTGCACTTCCGTGGGGCTGGCTTTTCAGTTGTCACGTTAGGACGTCCCCTTCCCCACCGGCGAGCACATCAGTGCGTTCCCTGAAGACCACATCGCAGGCACGCTTTCTGACGGCCGAGCACACAGTGGGTGGATTTCTACCGAAGTACAGAGTCCACTCACTCCTCAGTTACTCATCAGACGTTAGGGAGTCGGGAAGGAAAACGCAGTAGGCCCTGGGGTTCCCAGCAGCGAATCCTGGGTCCTGACCACTCTGGCCAGCACCTGCCTACCGAGCGGACGCTCATGTGAACGGCTGCCCTGGGTCAAACCCGTGATGTGCCCGTTTGTTCAGGTGTACACCGAGTACAAACTTCTCTCCAGCACAGAGTTAGGGCTACAGGGTCTCAAACTCAAGGGCTCCCAGGGTCCCCAAAGTAAGGTGTTGGGTAATGCAGGTACATCTCCCTAAGGTGTGAGGGTCCCCCTCGGTTCCAGCCTATACCGGCCAGAAGGGCACGGGGGGCCCCCCTGAGACCAGATGGTCCCATCTGCTGTTTTTCATGAAGCTAAAAATACACATTTGGCAAGGGTGGGTAATTCTTCAATTTTTAAATGTTGGCAACTTATTCAGATCTGGGCAAAGCTGCCATGCAGTCCACAGTGTGTCTGGAGACCAGACACGGCCATGGCCACGTTGTGGGCTCTGTTCCAAAAGGCAGCGAGGGGACAGGACACGGCACCCACCCGCCCTCCCTGCAGCCAAGGGCGCCCGTGGGCCGCGCGCAGCCCGCCGGGCCACACCAGCCAGGGCGCACTCCCTGCCCTCCCACCCCGTGCCCCATGCCCCTCACAGCAGTCAGACTCGCCCGGCCGGTTCTCGCCCGAAGCTGCAGACCTGCGGGGGTGAGTGTGGCGGGCACGTCGTACCTGCTGACAGCCAGGGTGCGGGCACAGAAGTGCAGGCAGGCTCTGTCCTGGCTCCGCACACAAGCGCAGCGCAGTGTCCGCTTGGACGGCTGTGGGCTCCGCGGGAACGGCCCTGCAGACCTCCGGGCCCGGAAGCTTCCTCTGTAGTTGGACAGTCCATAGGGCACAGTCCGTCTGCAAAGGACAGAGCAGCATCAGGGCCGTGTGTGGACGAGCTCTGGAGGCCTCCCCGTTCGGGGGGTGGGGAGGACATCCATGGGGGCGGAGCTGGCCAGGGCTGGGAGACTGTGGACACAGAGAGAGAGGTGGGGACCGGCAAAGCCTCGAGAACCGGTGTCCCCATGGTCCCCTGTGCTCTGGGTCTTAGCAAACCTCTGCAGGGAGCCTTTCACCCATTTTCCCCAAGCCCCCAGTAAGTGGGCTGGGGCCGAGGGCACAGACGGGGGGGGGTGCTGGGGGAGGAGATGCTGGCACTGGAGTGCACCCCCACTCCCAGGTCCTTCGAGGGCAGTTCTGGGTTGCCTCCCTGTGCCCGAACCCAAGCCACTGATACTCTGGCTGACATGCATGTTGGCGCCTCCGTCTTGGGCAAGTGCCCGGGTCTGGTCACCCACACCAGTAAGAGTCCTGCCCAGCTCCCAGCCCAAGGCCGGCCACGCCCTGCCTGCCCAGCACCCAACTTCTTGTCTTCATCGCCTCCCCGTCTGTATTAGCAGGAATACGCAAATATAATTACGGCCATTACGGATGCGTCCTGGCCTCCAGATACCGTTTTCTCGAATGCGCAAACATCAGAGGACCTGCTCTGCCCTGTAAGTCACAGCCAAGGATGGAACGGGCCTTGGGAAAAGGCTTATTGAAAAAGTCTTTATTTAAGAGTCTGAAAAGATTTATCAATCTCACTTATGGCTGGAGCTGGAGGAAGCTGTTGGTGTCGTTTGGAACAATTAACATTTGTCTTTCCCTTACGTCCATCTACATCCAAACCATCGCTCTCCAGAGAAGAAGGAAGACAGCCAGGCGGCAGTTGTGGGGGAAGAAATGAAAAGCATATGCTTCATTCATTAGCACTATTGAACAGGACCGGGGCACAAATTGCTAATAACCAGAGGAAACTTCTGTGGCTGAAAGTTACTTTACAACAAGGCCTGGTTTTCCGAGATGAGCCACCTTGGTTGCTGTGAGCACCACAGAGCACCACCAATCATCCTCCTCAAAGGGGTTCTGACATCCTCTGTGCATTTTCAAAATAAAATCAAATTGGATTTACTTTAATTTGAAACACACATCAACATCATGGAGCCTTTTTTCAGGGTGGCGGGGGCAGAGCGGGGGCGGGGGCGCCCCCTCGTGACCTGAGGCTTGGAACCAACTTCCAACTTCCCCCTGCTGGGTCGGAGGCCTGAGCCAGGGGGCGTTCCCACCCCTATTCCCTTTCTCGTGTTCTGTTCTCTGCACTGTGGTGGGTTCCTTCCCATCGGGTAGGGCTGCATTCCTCCTGCCCTCAGTAGGGAGCACTCTGGGCTCACAAGAGAACGTAAGCAGGATCCAGTCCTGTTCTGAGCTAAACCTTTGCTAAAACCCCATTTTGTCTCAGGAATGGGGCTGGGGGGTAAGAGGGCAGAACAGCATAGACACTGTCGTGAGGCAGGATTTGGCTAAAGGTATACTTTTCCAGTAATGGGGCCGCATGAAATCTCAAAGCGTTGACATGAAACCCAGGCCCCATTTCTTGGTGAAAATTACAGACAAGGAATAACAACGCTCCCATTTTTCCATCAACAGCAAGACCTGCAATTTTGAAATTGCTGTCAGCTGATGGTGCATTTGCATGTGCAGAGCCACCCAACTTCAGCGAAAACACTCCAAAGTGTTTTACGTAAGGAAACAAGGCAATGCAGCATTTGTTAATAGAGCAATGCTGAGCGCTTTCCCAACGGCCAAGTGCAAAGAGCTCATATGCAAATGAGCCCTTGCAATTTTCAAAGAACGTTTACAGAGAGACACAGGCCCCCTCCTCTTCCCCACATCCTGGGACCAGAAACCCCTGCCCCAAGCCCTGGGGGGTCCAGGTGGGCTCTCCCCTCCCAGCTGGCTGAGCTCCAAGAGCGGGTGGGGACGGTACAGGCTGAGGAAATGGAGGGTTTAGAAGGTGGTCCAGACCCCAGAATTTTCCAGTTCCACTGGAGGCATGGGCCAACAATCTGAAGGTTTTAAATTAATCTGATAAGCTCTTAAACAAGACAGTTCTACCTTCCTACCTGAACAGATACAGCTTCGAAACACCTTGGACCTCTGGGCTTGAATTTAGAATCCTGGAGCTGTGTTGGAGCGTGGTCACCCAAGGAGGTTCACACCTTCTCTTCCATCCCACTCTGTCCCACAGCAAGGGGGCCTCATGCACCCCCTGGCCACACTGTGGACTTGGGAGATGTGCCTGGAGTTCTGTGCCATCCCGGGGTGTCAGACTCCGGAAGATACCCGCGCAGGCCTTGGAAGTGGGCTCGGGGACAATTTGGGTAAAGGATTCTAGGATCCTGAACACCTGGAACACGGTTTGGAAGGAGTACACGTTCAGTCCCATAGACTCCTTTGATGGGGTGGGAAACACGGCCAGAGGAGGGCCAGAGGCAGCCCTATAGCCCATAGGGCCCAGCGAGGGGACCTGAGTGTCCAGATCTAAAGGTGGGTCACTGGCTCCTCAAGACTAGAAGGCTGGACTTCTTCTTCAGTACCTGCTGTGAACCCAGCACAAGGATGAGCAAATGGTAGGAATTGTGAGATAATCTAGTCTGGCAAGACAGGATCCTCTCCAACCTAAAAGGTTCAATAACCACGAATTCCTTACAAAGACTCTCCAACATGGGGTGTCTGGGTGGCTCAGTCGGTTGAGCATCCGACTTCAGCTCAGGTCATGATCTCACGGTTCCTGAGTTTGGGCCCCGAGCTGGGCTCTGTGCTGACAGCACGGAGCCTGGAGCCTGCTTCACATTCTATCTCTGTCCTCTGTTTCTCTGCCCTCCCTGCTCACGCTCTGTCTCTCTCTCTTTCTCAAATATAAAATGAAAAAATTAAAAAAAACACAAAGAATCTCCAACATTTGCCAAGCATTATATATGTACACATATCTAATAAGTGTGATGGGGATATAGAAAGGTCTACAGGAGTTCACACACTCCACGGCCATTAAACCAGATCAAGGAAACATCATAAACCGGTATATACAGGTATGTGCCAGGCACACAGAGCACACGGAAAGGTGAGCTGGCAATTCCATTACCATGTTGTAAAGCACGTACATGATGATCGCTCCACCCTCTTGACAATTTCCTGACCTACTAAAGGGCTGCTGGCCAGACTGAATGACACACTGCACTGCATAGTGAAATCGTCGGCAGAAAGCTAGCAGTAAATTAACGATAGCTCTCATTGCTGCACATCTGGTCTTGGGAATTCAAGTGAGTTGTTACCAGGCAGAAAAATCCCACCTACCCAGGCTGCATTTGAGATGTGTGAGCAAGCAAAAAAGAAGGGTAAGTAAGGGGCCAGCGTGCCATAAGGCGCAGCAATGCCATCCTCTGCCGGGCTTCCTTCTGGATGCTCTGTCCTGCTACTCTGCCCGTCCAACAATCACTTGGATTTCATTCATCTTGGTGCCTGTTCTCATTTTTTAATGTTTCCTGAACATGAATTGGAAGCACCTAACGTTGGGCCAGTGAAAATGAAGTCTGGTCGGCTCAGAACCCTGCCCAGCACACTCTCCGGCCGGCTGGCTTAGCCACCGCTGAACAGTAGGGCTTGCAGAGCGCGCTTCCTTGTAAAAAGTAGGCAGCGCTTCTGCCTGTTTGTGGCTCCGTTATAACACAGAGCTCCTCACAAAAGGGAAGCAGATGAGAGGATCAATCCAAATGCTCTTAGACAAAACAGAACACCCTTCCAGCATACCTACACATGCAGCATCTCGTGTGGCACGTGTCTGTGTAATAAATTGTCTCAAAACCGACATACATTCATTGTCGATCAGCGATGGTGGTGCCAGTCTTATTTATCACTGTGTTCCTTACTTCCCATTTTCCCCCAAATGTCATCTATAAATGTTATTAAATATTAAACCACCCAATCCCCTTGCTCATCCTTCATCTGCATAGCACATGGAGAGCGCTCGATTTTTCTCTGCAAAGAAATTTTTAAAGTAAGGAAAACTGACTTTTCTTTTTAAGATTTTGTTTTTAAAGTCCAGTGCTGCCTTCTCATAAATGGATTCGTTATCTCCACCATTCTGATCAGGAAACGGGCTTCTATAACTGAACTGTAAATTTTTTTAATGTTTTACTATTTATTTTTTTGAGAGGGAGGGACAGACACAGCATGAGCAGGGGAGGGGCAGAGAGAGAGGGAGACACAGAATGTGAAGCAGCTCCAGGCTCTGAGCTGTCAACATAAAGCCTGACGCAGGGCTTGAACCCACGAACTGTGATATCATGACCTGAGCTGAAGTTGGATGCTCAACGGACTGAGCCACCCAGGCGTCCCTATACCTGAACTTTAAAGGAGGGATAGAGATATTCGCAGGGTCTGGCCAGAAGCAGCAAAAAGAGAGTCACTGGCCAAAATCTAATTCCTCAGGAAAGTTATCAAATTGTCATTGAAAACCCAGTTTTTATTCCCCCACCCCAATGAGCAGCATTCAGTGAATATCAGACTGGACCAGACTCTGGGTGAACATCCAGGAGTAAGACAGACAAATGGTCCTATACACACACAGCTTTAATCCACCACAGGGGTTAGCAATTTGGCAATTTATGGGTTTCATCCAATCAACAGAGGGTTTTTCTTTTGAACATTTTGAAATTTTACATGAACATCGCGATTTCCAGCTACTCTAGAAGTGGAGCCTGTTTCAACACCAACCCCAATCTCCAACATGGCAACCGCCATCGCAAGCTGAGTGACAAAGTCAGAGACGGGGCATGAACGCTCTGTTTCGCCCCAGTCTGTGCAAACACCTCTCCTTCTTTGCTCATTTGTGCTATCCGTCTGGCCCTGGTGAGCATCTGAGTTTATAACCGTGGTCCAGTAGCCTGTCCCACAGAACCGGGCCAGACAGGTCACGTGACAGAGTGACAAAATCAGCCCTTGATACCATTTTAATAAGTAGAGCAGTTTGCAATCTA